TTAACGTTTTTACCTTAATCCTAATATTTTAACTATTACTGAACTTGAATATTAACAACTATTATAACGACAAGCAGCACTAGTGGTTATATTACCGTCCTGGAACGCAGCCGAAATCCAAGTGACCGCTGCTCTATTCGACCATGTGTCCCTTGGCTCGAGTAGATAACGTCATATCCGTTATACAGTGTTGCCAACGCCAACATAAAGTAGATAGTTATGTATACCGAGACCCCCACGAATGCCCGCGTCAGCGAGATATTCTAAAACATTGTAATTACATTGTAACAATCGTCGTTTGACTTAGCATAACGGATATTGATAACATTCCTGAGGGTCTAGTTACCAGATAGGATAATATTTCACTAGTATAGAAAGAATAGCATTGTAAATTAGTCTTAAGCCAACTCTGGTAGCGAGCATACGAACTTTTGTTAGTACCAATATAGGTCTAATTAAAATAAAGTTGTATTTTTAAAAGGCCTTCCGGCTCCCACAACACTTGACTAAATATAAAACATGCATCGGGATTTATTTATTTTCGTATATAGATACATATGGACGTAATAATTATGTAAATGGTTATAAAATCACAAATGCATAAATGTAAATTCTTCTAACGGTCGCCGATCTCCTATGAGAGGATGTTTCACTCAAAATGCCTAATCATTTTGATCCCGTCCCGCGTGAAAGAAGGAGGAACCATCAAACGCAAATCTCATTTGCAAAATGTCAATAATTTAGAGAGATTTATGTTTTTGAGGTCCGTACCCAAAGGATAAAACAGGACTTTATTCGAGGGTTCGATTCCCACACGGGACAAGTACTTGTGTGACGTCAGACAGGCGGCTGGTCGTAAAAACTAGCCAAAACTACTTTCAACATGATCCACATGTTGTGCCACCACCTAGGAATAAAGACAGGAGGATGATGACGATTAGGGATTTACGTTTTGAAGTTTTCAACGATTTCGAGGAGTTGCAATGGAAAATGAATGCTCCTGTGGGGGAAATCGTTGAACCTTCGCCGTTCCATGAGCGAGTAGCTTGAGAAGAAGCTGCAATTTATGGAGATGAGGCTACAGGAACTTGAAATAAGGCAGTGTCAATTGGACTTGTTTTCTTATAAGACGGACGATGGGGGTAGTCATGTGTCATGTTGTAAGCGACGTCTACTGTATCTGTGGGCCACACAAATACTTTTCCCGTGTGGGAATCGAATGCTGGACCTCCGAAGCCAAAGCCAATAGCTTTGCAACTGCTCTACCGAGCTATCCACTAGCTGCTTATCATATTTGGTTTAAAAGCACGGCGTCGTGAAAAAGCTAACCCCGCTATTATGATTTCAAAGGAAACAAAAATTGACCGTGGTAGGACAGCGCAACAGTCTTCGCTGTTGCACAAATGGGCAGGTCTGACCGGGTGAGTACCACACCTTCACAGAAGACCGGCGTGAAGTAAAAGTTACACTTGTGCGTTTCGTCTGGTGAGTGAGGTAGCCGGAGCCCACTTTATTAAAAGGTGGCAACACATCTGCAACCTTACGGGTGTAGCAAATGTCTATGGGCGGCGGTTATTACTTAGCACCAGGTGAACCGCCAGTTCGTTTGCCACTTAGAAGGAACTAGTTTCTCATCAAGCTTTTTGTGTTATGTTTTACAACCAGAGAAGTGATAATATGTGACTTAAATAATAAGTCACATAAGTTTATTATGCAATTTTATTTATAGTACCTACCACGATTTCTCCTCACGCCCCGGGTTGACTGGCAGAGAATGCCAATAGGCATTAAGTCCGCCCTTTGTAACCCTTTTGAGGTGTTTTCAATAAATAATAAATAAATAAATTAATAATATATAAACAGAGAACTAAAAAAGTGTTCCCGGAGCGCCATATTGTTCATAGCTAGCTTGCAACCCTAATCGATTAGTAGAAGAAGAATAAATTAGTTCAACAGTGTGTTCAACCTAATATGGCCACGTTTTTTGGTCTCGACTTTATGGTCCGGTCACGCCTTTTCCGTTTCGCTGTCTACCGTTCTTCAGGATGTTTTCCTTTCTCCTTCGATGCCACAATGTCGCATTATCGCATACGCTTTCTCAAGCCAATTATAAACAGAGACCTACGCAAACATCCAAGATACGACTATGATGTTCATTGTCAAGATAAGATACACGCCACGTCGTGTTAATACGGCATGATTTATGCGGGATACTTTTCAAACTTATGTTTATACTCGTCACGTTTGTAAGTTTAGTCAAACTTCTGACGTTTATAGAACAATAAAATATGCAATGGCTAGCAATTTTCTAGAAACTAATATCACAGTATATAATGTCCACATATTTAGTCATTTCTAGAATTCAGTTCCACAAGAATTTTACTAATGTATATTAATCCTATAATTAAAACAGATAGGTAAATGTTTGTTATAACAATTATTATTAAACAGAGATTCCAATATCGCTTAGTGCTTTGTGTTTCCCTCCAAAACGATCTCATGTTGTATACTTATTATTGAAGATGATTATTTTTTTTCTCCCGAAAATTGTGACCCAAGAATTATTCTTGATGATTTAATACATTAGTGATTCCTCTTTTACTTCATTTTTTTTAATTGCAGTGACCCGATTGTTGTAGTGGTCAGTGCACCTGACACTTGCGCCCGAGGATATGGGTTCGATCCTCTCTACTGGAAATATATTGTGTGATGGACAGGGTGTTTTTCCAGTGTCTGGGTGCTTATCAAAAAAAAATATATTTATTCAAATAGACGCTTGTGCGCTCTTATGAATCGTCAAATTTTACATCAAAAATTATGTATATAGGTTCGTAAGGTACCACCGGTTCGGAAAGCAGTTTCTGTTGAGAAGAGACCGGCAAGAAACTCAACAGTTGCTCTTTTTCAAAAATATCAGTTTACAATATAATATACAGGTACAATAGTCTTATTCTAGCCTACGTGAGTATCAACAGTATTGACTCCACACATTGGCGTCGTCGAGATATTCCGCAATGGTATAATATACTTTAACCATAAGATGACTTTTAATTTTACATTTAAATTGGTCAAGCGGCAGACTTAATATCGACTGTGGGATTTTATTATACATGCGCACACTTTGCCCCATGAACGATCTATTTACTTTTTGTAGACGAAACAATGGCGTAGTAAGTTTGTCCTTATTTCTAGTGTTTATTTTATATATTTATAATTTTTTTTATATATATTATATGTATTTACAAAAGAAAAGTAAGTTTAAATATGTTTATCAGTTATCTAGATTTTACTTAATCAATGATATTTACTATGTCAACTTCCATTGCTTATACATAATTACATGTATTATCTGTGTGTACTGTATAATATTGAAAAGTTCTTAATAGAACAAGAGCGTTTTATTGATTTAAAATTTAAAATAATCATTTGGTTAACAAAGTACTGAATTCTGGTTAAAACATAGATCATCTATAAAAACGTGCTGCAAATGGGTACCGTGGTATGTGTGTTGCCAGTGATGACCTACGGAACCGAGACGTGTTCCTACACTGCTGGTCGTATGAGGAAGCTCAAAGTCGCTCAGCGAGCTACGGAGCGGGCTATGCTCGGTATTTCTCTGCGTGATAGAGTTCGTAACGAAGACATCCGCGGTAGAACCAAGGTAACCGACATAGCTCAGAGGATTAGCAAGCTGAACTGGCGATGGGCCGGCCATATAACTCGTAGAACCGATAAACGTTGGTGAAGAAAGATTCTCGAGTGGCAGCCTCGTACTGGCCATCGCAGTGTAGGATGACTCTCCACTAGATCGAGTGACGACCTGTGCAAATGTGCGGGAAGTCAATGGATGCAGGTGGCTCAGGATCGTACTTCGTGGCAGTCTATGGGGGAAGCCTATGTTCAGCAGTGGACTCAAACAGGCTGAAATTATGATGATGATGAAATGGGTACCGTTATCGCAATACGTGTTTGATCTAAGAGTAATTGTTTCATATTATTAGTAATATATAACAAATGAGAAAATTTCTTGGAATAATAATAATTTATAAGAATAATTTCCAAGAAATTTTCACATTTGTTGTTTTTGCTAATGGTTAATAATCATCACTACGTAGTATAAAACAAAGTCGTCCCGCTGTCTGTCTGTCCCTATGTATGCTTAGATCTTTAAAATTACGCAACGAACCTTGATGCGGTTTTTTTTACTAGATAAAGTGAATCAAGAGGAAGGTTTATATGTAACACATTGCACCCGTGCGAAGCCGGGGCGGGTCGCTAGTAACAGTAATAAAACGTAAATCACATGTTACCTTGATATAATTATGTATTTTGCACATTGAAATCTATCTATATGTGTTCGGGAAACGTTCCGAACCTCAGTTCTACCTTATTGTCTGTCTGATTGCTAGCACGTATTAATGTAATAACACTTAAATTGTACTAATAAAAAAAAGAAATAACATACAAAATAATGTTGTAGTGCAATATTCTAACATAAAATATCGATTTACTAACAAAGAGAAAACATAACATTAATAAATCTACATCAGAACATAATTATCACAGTACCGCGTCGGTATGAACAATGATTCATGCAATGTTTACAATTTCGATAATTATCTGTTATCGAACTGATTTGAAACGCAGTATCGGTAAATAACATAAATTCTATGGACAGTGACTTCACACAATGGCCGCGTAAATATGACGTGTAAAAAATTTCGTCTGACAAGGGTGGCTTTTCGTGAATTTCCGCACGAGATCGTGTGAATAATATATTACTCTCTCTGTCACACTTAAGGGGATACCGTTCATATCACCCTATCGAATTTCTACGCAACAGACCAAACGTCCGTCTCGCTCGCTGCTCGGCAGTTCTTATTTTTAGCTTTCGCAGTGCGGACGTTACGTGCATATCGAGACATCAGTGTATCTTTGCAATTGATTTAATAACTAAAACAATTTATTGCTTTAACTGGAAAGAAGAAAATATTAGCACAATGGCAAAGGTAAAATAGTTTTTGGATTGAATAAGCTGCTTCACTGTTTACACTATAAAATGTTTTTATTCTCTCGCTATAACATCGTACCACTATGACGTATGCCTGAGTGAAGATAACTGCTGTATTTTTCATCAGTTTATGAATAGTAATAGTTAAAAGTTGTTTGTTGTTGTTTAAGTATTTAGCTTTTATTGTTAATTAATTATTTGTTTTTGTTAATTAATTAATTAGCTTTTATACGTTTATCGTATGATACGAAGTATTATTAATGTTTTACAATTATTGGGAAATTTCTGCATCTGTTACACAATATAATGTGTTTATCCATTTTAAACATGTTTTTCACATTTAACAACTATAAACGACAATTGATAACTTTCTAATTTAATATTTTTACTAAATTGTAATACTTTATCCATACGTATCACAATATTGATTATACGGTTTTGCCAGAATTGATTGATTCGTAAAAACAATTTGTATAAACAACGCATATATTTAGAAAATATGCTAAATAGTCCTGAGAAACGGCAACACTAAAGGCCAGTGTCAAAATCTGAATCAATAGACAATTCGGGAAGAAAGAATAACTGTCAACTCAGTTGGTGAAGGAGGAGTTTTCAGTGTTTTCAGAAAACTATTCAGAAAAGTTTTAATGTCTTCATTAATTAAAAAGTTATTAGTGCAAACAAAGAACTACTATAAGCAACTAATTGAAATTAATAGAAGCAGTTATTGGGTATATTGTCTTTAATAATCGGTTATAGGTTTTTCTTTTAAGGTTACTTGTTTAACATTTTTTTCACCTTTAATATTCTGTTCATGTCTTTTACTAATCTAATAATCTTCTGAAATGTAATGTTCACGACATCATAAACTGCGTTTTTCAAACCGAAATAGCTTACTTTAAACAAAGTTCTATTACGATATTTTACAATAGTTTTCTTGTATAAATAAATATAATATGTTAGAAATTCTAGCCTTTTATAAAGGTAATATAAAGGTTATCTGTATCTCAGAGATTTTTGTGACTTACGGTGAATTATAAAATATAATATGTAATGTCAGTGATCAGTAGGGTAACAGTGCAGATTGGCGGCACAAGTTTTGTTTTCTTATAAATATTTTTAAACGATAAAAAAACATGGCTATAAAACCGAAATTTACGGAAACTTCCAGATTTTGAGAAAATATAAATTCATCTTGCAATTTTACACCGCATCATTTTTTTATTACTTCGCGTACAACATATACATACTTGTGTCAATTGTTTGATTATATTTTTTTTATTTCATGAGATATGTAAAACAGAGCAATCCCATACAGACAGGTTAGCTTAGAAGGCTGAGGCAAGCAAAGCTCCCCCTTAGCCTTTATGGTTATTTTCTTATAACCACCCAGAAATATCATTTTGAACCTAATTTATTGTATTTAATGACAATCAAAAATACTTCTTATAACTAACTCCAAATTTTCCAAATTTAAAAGAGTAAAAATTTTAATAACCGATTTCTTAATACAAACATTACACATATTGATCATCTGTGGTGTTTCTCACATAGTACTTTGTAATATAGGGTGTTTCTGTAAGACACAGTTGTGAACTGCTTTTGTATTGGCACACTAGTATTACATTTAAATTGTGCACAATGTTCAAGTATAAAAAATGAAAAAAGAAATGTGTTTGTGATATGTTCTTTAAGTATCCTGTATCACTATATACATCTCCCATCAAAGTTAAAATGAAAGCTTAGTAGGATTTTTTGGTAATAATATTGTATTTCCATAATGGAGATAAAAAGTCTTAATATTTATTTTTCATGATAAGTAGGCAATATCTTAGATTTTCATTCTTAACATCTAAAACATGTAGAAAAAGTACGAAAAGATTGTCGCCGCTGTGGTAATCGAACCCACGTCTTCGGCATTCGCGGCCTGACGCTCTAGCCACTGAGCTAAACGGCTGATTCTTAACATCTAATTATGGTTACATTTTTTTATTGTTTAAAAATATTTTTAAGAGATAAAATTGAAGCCATTATACTTAAATTAGAATTATAACTGAATTATTGTTTAAATTACCATTAGTTAAACAGTTTAGCATCTCATCCATCTGGTGCGTCTTATGTCACAAATGTCAATTTTGTGACAGTTTTATGAAATAAGTTGTGTTTTGTTTTTATTTAACATAGTTGTTATGAAGGTTTGGAATAATAATGGTTTTACTTCAAAATAAATTTATTGATTTGAAAATGTGGAAACATTGTTAGCAGGCCTGTAAAAAGTTATATTATGACAAATAATAATGTTGATACATTGGATGGATACATTAGTGAAAGATAAATAAACTCAAAATTTATAACAAAAAGTTTATGTCAACCTTCCAATCATTCGAATAAAACCAGTGTGCATGAGAAATTCTTTATAGAATCTGATGTTATCTTTACCAATAACAACAACAGTTCTAACTCAATGCACATATCAATATATGTATAGATAGGTAAATCTTAAATAATAGGTGATATAGTAGATACCTACCGCTTCCAGCCATTTACAAGATGAATTTATTCATTATGGAAACATTTTGCTCAGTAATGATTCATTGTTTTATGGTAAACAAGTGTAGTGGTTATCTCTTTAAGGTGTATCTTGTGGCCTTTCAGAGCTGATAAATGTTGAACTACATATAAGTCCTTATTGTATAATAGCAAAGTTCCTCCATATAAAACTAACATTATATTTCACATTGATGATATAAAATTGTGTAGGTGTTTAATGCTAAGCCAAAGACGGCTGTTATAGCTCAATGTCACCCAGACTCTTAATTAATAGTTCAAAACCGTGTGCCGCGGCAAAGAAAATTGTTATTTTTCAATTTTAAGTGTTATCTGTCTGTATCTATCCAAGTGAAGGAAAACATTGTGAGGAAACCTCTATATTTTCTAAATACTAGTAAAAATGTTCAAAGATTTGTGCAATTTGTCAATCCGCAGTTGTGTCGCTTGGTGGACTATGCCAGGCAGCAGCAGTGATACAAATAATTATAAATTCTGTCGCTTTTTTCTAATGTGAGAAAGTGGCAGGCAAGCTGGTGTTAATTGAGAACCGCCGCACGTGGACATTTGCAACACCTGTATGGTACGTTAATAAATTGGGTCTAGGTTACCGCACTCCCCAGACGGAACGCAGAATATAACACCCCATCCGCGCTGGTCACCTGTGAGGTCATGGTACTTCCCCGGATGAACCTGCCCATTCGTACGTCAGTAGAGGCTGCGGCTTGGCCCGACCACAGTCGCTCTATTCATTTTCTTTTACTTTTAAAATATATAAATAAAGGGCAAAATCCCATAATTTTTCCTGCATAAAAATGCAGGCCATAATTTTACCGTCTTTTCTGTTTGGCAACATCTATCGTCAAAAGTAGTGGCCTGTCAGGTGATTTTTTTTGGCGCTAGTTTTACCTAAATACCTAGTCGGATCATAAATTTCTATCACATGTTTATTGTGAAATAATTGACACGTGTTTATTTCACAGTAACAATTTATATACCAAAGAAACAATAAATTTTATGCTAACTAAGCTTATTCGAAATGAATTCCGCGATTTTGAATACAAGCTTCCAATCTGCGCCGCCAGTCCTCTATAGCATACGAACGAATTCCATATCAGTATCGTCGGCTACTTTAGTCAAGTTGTTTTTGAGTGACTCCAAATCACGACGAGGCTTTCAGCAGGCCTTTTCGTCCAAGCGTTGCCATATTTTATAATCCAACGGATTTAAATTTGGACTGGAAGCGGGCTGATCTTACTCCTTCTGTGGTAGGGCCACGCATCAGTTTTCACTGTTGCACGAATGGGCAGATCCGTCCGGGTAATTATAACGACCTCACAGAAGACCGGCGTAAAGTAGAAATGTTTGTACTTCTGCGTTTCATCTGGTGAGTGAGGTAGGTGGAGCCCACTTTATTTAAATGTGGCTACGCATTTGCAACCCTACGGGTGTTGCAAATGTCCATGGGCGGCTATTATTGCTTAACATCAAGTGAACCGCCACCTTGTTTGCCATATTGTCACGTTAAAAAAATCTTAATTTCGGGTGAAGTCAATTTGCCAGCTCGAACTGGCGCTGAAACTTGTGGAATACCCAGTGGCTGTTATTGAAAATGGTATGAGAAATAGTTTCCACAGAGTTTGTGAGGGCTATTTTGATCCGACTGCATTCGTTTTTACGCCTTTCTCACAAAAATATACCTCTAAGGTCCAATATGAAACCCCCAAGCCATTAGTGACGATTGAAAATGACCTCGCTGGACATGCTTCTTCGTAGATGAGGGTGACCTTATTTTTGTTTATTGTTGCTTTCCTTCATGGTAATTTTTATTTCATCCGAAAAAATAATTTTACAGTGCCTTTTTCCCGCGTACCGCTTCAACAAAACACGAGATTATTTTCAGTCTCAGGTCCATTAAACGCGTCTGTTTATATTCCTTACTTGCGACCCGCCCGGCTTCGCACGGGTTTAATGTATTATACATATAAAAAATCCTCTTCAATCACTCTATTTAGTAAGAGAAAACCGCATCAAGATTCGTTGCATAGTTTTAAAGATCTAAGCATACACAGAGAGAGACAGTGGGACGACTTTGTTTTATACTATGTAGTGAAGTGCGAAGCCCTAGGTCTTCATTCAACGCCCTTATCACCGTGGTTTTGCTTAACCCCATCTAAATGGCCAACAGTTTCTGCTTACGCGGGATTTTCATTGATTCATTCCTTCACAGCTATAAACGAATGCTTTAGTTCTGAAAAAAATTAAAAATCTGATTTGGTTCTTAGCTGCTCGATACCGCAACTTTTCCTTCTTTAAGCGTCCACTCCATATTTAAAAATAAATGCGATTTTTATTTGCGAAATTTTATTTTCATAAAACATTCTAAATTCGAATTCAATAATTATTTTTGTGGCCAGCATTCAAAATATAAAATGTTTATTATGTGACCTA